CTGATCATCTAGGACAGATACTGTCCTCTTGGCAAGATGCAATCAAGGAGATTGAGCTTGGAGAGGACATGGATATTGTAAGCTTGCAACCATACGAAACAAGGTCAAATATTTTGCGGCTTTAAACAAAATAATCTGTTTCACGGGTAAATGTAATACAAAATGCGTTTTAGAATAATGTCCTTTCACCCAGGCTGAGTTTCAGGCACTGACAAATGCAGCTTGGCATTTTACAGCAAAGAGACTTGACACCAAAAGTGCTGCTACCATTGCCTGGGTCAGAAAGGCTCTCCCGGCCTCTCCTTTCCCCCTTTGGCAGTAGGAGCAGTGCCAATCTAGTTCACCCCCAGGCCTTTCTCCTGGGGAGGTATTATTGGGTTCAGACAAAATCTTATCACAGCAGTCCTATCTGTGTGAACTTTTCTCCTTGTAACCTGCGTAACTGAAGAGACAGAGGACAAGGAGAGGATTTTCTTGTCTGTGCTCACTCAGGAAACCTGCAAATACTTCCAAAAAGCCTCTCCTTACAAGCAGTATCAGGGTAGGAATTGCAGGGGGAATGGAGGACAACTGTGAGGGATAACCCATGTGGGTCCCTCCAGCTACAACAGCTCTGTTTTCCTGCAAGGTACCAAGGTAACTGTTTCAAGCTTTTCTCAGGAGTGACTGTAGCTGCCCAGCATTGCCCTCAGGCAGAATTTTTTGCATGAGGAGGCTTCACCCGGCCTCTTTTAATCACTCAGTAATAAAAAGTTTTTCTCACTCTACTCAGAGAGCTGTAATTTAAATAGACAAAACTGACTTGTCGCTGTTGTGAAACCAAGTAAGTCCAAGAGAGTTTGAATGACTTGCATAATGTCACGTGAGGCATTTGTGTCACAGCCTGGCCTGGAGTATTCCAAGCACCAGTCCATCACCATCTTCATCCAAAGATCATCTCTTCTGTCACTGCATCTAAAGATTAAGTGGGAGGTTTGGGCTTCTACAGGAGCCTTACTGCATGGAGCACAAATCAAAGCGATCAGCCCCATCAGCAAGGAATGTACCAATCTCTTTTCTGTGCTAATTCCACTTAAAAATGCAGCTCAGAGGTAGGCGTTAGGACAGCTGGAAACAAGAGGTATGGTTGCATGTGTCCCCATTGCTTATCACAGACAGGACTTTGCTTCTTGTACAGACCAAATGAAACCTTTTTCACAAATCATTTGAGAGCAAGCTTACCCCACTAGCAACTGGAAGCGCTTTCCTTTCTTCAGCACACTATGCTCGATGAGTTAATGTCCTCCTAGCACCTTGTCCTTTTCCAGGACATTCAGCCTTCTGGTATTTTCTTAACATTTTGAATTGGGCAATTAAATTCCTTAGTATCTTGGTGGCATACGTGGAAATAAATAGAAAAATGTTTGGCTTCCCCTCAGAGACAAGATATTTAAATGGTGGAAAATATGTGTGTATTTTTGGGGTGGTGTACTTAGATCTCCACAAATATTTTTAGTTGCGTCCCTGCTCTCATGCACAACCATCCCATGCCATTCATCTCATTCCCCCATTCCCCACTTGTAAATTCATTTAGGAAGAGTTGACAGACTTTGGTTTGGCTTCTGCTGGATTTCAAGCCTGCTGCCTAATGTCGTGTGAGACAGGATCTCACATCAGTGCTCTGGGTGGTTGTGAAGAGAAAGGGGTTTCTGAGCACCGTAACACACTCCATCTCCCTGCATGAGGGATCTCGGCTCCATGCACTGATGTGTACTCTGAGGTGGCAGAGAAAGTACAAAGTCAACTCCAGACTTTATAATTTATGTAATGACCTAAGGAGTCACTGGTGTTAAGAATACATATCATTGATGGGGGGAGCTAGAATTAACACATACTTTGGGATGGCTAAGACATTACCAAGTCATACACAGCCTTAAACT